CTGACTTTCATTAAATTCTAATGTTTTGGTTACAATTATGACTATTTAAAAAAGTCATGCAACACGTCTCGAATTTTCCAGAAAAGGCCATTATCTAGGTAAAATATCTTTGTAAATGCTTTATCTGTTAACGGAATAATAGAAGTTGTACATCAAAAGATCTCTTTTTATCTTCAGAACATTGTCACAACAGCTTGATGAAAATAAATAATTTAACATTGTAAAGCAAATAATGTGAAGAATATTTCAAGCAAAATGGGCAGTACAATGGTTGCAAATTAGAATGACAAATATCTATCACTTTTGTCGCAATTTAATCAAAAATCAAAATAAAACTTACCTCCGAGGCTTTGGCTGTCACCCAGGCTAGTGCTGCAGATGTTTGCAAAATGGCCGACTAAAAAGAGATGAAGTTACTTTTAAGAAAGGACAAAAATAAATGCTAAAAAAACATCATGTAATAATTTCCTATGAACAATCAATATTTGATAACATTTTTCAATGAAATTTCAGTTACAAGAAATGAAAATAGCCCATACCCTCATCTGTTACTGCTATTATAAAAGCAACCCACTACTAAATAACTAAAATTACAATTAAGCTCTCCTTTATTGACTCATTAATTTTTTAGAAATATGATGGTAAGATAACGTCAGAATTTTTAAAATGACAAACTCATAACAGGGACACTCAAAAGAGTCATTCATGCACATACAAAGTCAACACCGAAAACATAATTCAATTTGGGGAGACATCACTTTTAGATCTGGCCCAGTTTTAGGGCTCATTCCCAATGTAACTATGGCTCTATTCCCATAGATTTTAGATCGATCTATCCCCGCGGGGAGTCTCACTAGATTACTTTCAGATAATCCGACTTAAATGTCCGTCCCGCCTACTACAAGCAGTAAGGGGGTAATTAACTTTCGTGTCCGCCCGGCTGACAGCTATTTAGCGTGAACCCCCAGGGAGTTAGGTCGATCTAAAGTAGGTCGATCTAATCTATGGAAATGGGGTGTATCACACTATGTAGATCAATCAACCTCTAGAGCTCCGTAACTCAAAAGCATAGCGAACTACAAATCACCTTCTAAATCGAGGCAATATTAGGGCCTATATGGGACGAGTAAATCCCGTGTTATGGAATAGAAACGCTTGCGCTCGGTTGCAATTCGCGACGCTTTTGAGTTATGGAGCTCAGGGGAACTGTTTCTGAATGCAACCAGATTTATAGCTTAACACACCTCCGCCTGATGTTGAGTAGAATACATAAAAGCTGGTGAAAACAGAGGAAGTGTGTTAGACCCCATTTCCAAAGATTAGATCGATCTACTTTAGATCCACCTAACTCCCTGGGGGTTCACGCTAAATAGCTGTCAGCCGGGCGGGCACGGAAGTTAATTACCCCCTTACAGCTTGTAGTAGGCGGGACAGACATTTAAGCCAGATTATCTGACAGTAATCTAGTGAGACTCTCCGCGGGGATAGATCGATCTAAAATCTATGGGAATAGAGCCTTACTCTCTCAATCTGATTGCATTCAGCAAGAGTCCCTGCAGAGCTGGATCAATCTACATAGACCGATACTTTCATTGGGAAAGAGCCCTTACTTATATAATACACCTGAACGGTTAAACTTTTACCCCTGATGATAAATTGGGAGGCACATTTATACAGAAACTCATCTTTCATTTAAGACTATTTCAACTACAATTTAATCATTCCGTTAGACCTTAGTTAACCACAAAACAAGCATACCATTATCATGCATACTTTTAGCTCAACCACAATAACCACAAGACCTAATTAGCAGTGACAAAGGGATCAATAGTAAATATATCAGCAGCTAAGTATGATCTATTACTAAGACATCCCAAAGGAGTCATCTGATCCAAAAATAGCCAAGGACTTAAAAGAAAAAAATAAAAACACAAGATGGACAAACTGGTCAAAATTTTTAGCCACTCTGCAATGCATTCCTAGTAGAATTTCATGCAAGAAAATTGTGAAAACTTCACCTAGGAATTCATTTTGTTTGTTTGTTTGTTTTTGTTTTTTATAGCCATGAGGTAAGATATGAGGAATCTTCCTGGTCATACCAGCTCCTTGGGCTAGACTAGGCAGAAAATAAGCTACTATGGCACTGTTATAAAGAAGGATGCTTTTTACACATCAGCAAATATTCTGCATTTTTCTTAATGTTTTCACTTTTAAGTACATAATTGCTAGGAAATTTCCAGAAAACATCGGTTAAAAACACATTTTGCTTTTCTTCCTAATTTTTTTACAAGGCTTACCTTCTGTGATCATCTTTAAGCAGACCAGCACAAATCTGCTGTTCAGCCAATAATAACTAACGGTCAATGAAAACCAGCTCAAATGGCCCGAGCGACTTTAAATGTGGGTTCGACCAGGTGGGCAAATATGCTTAAGCCTCAATAGTGAATGATATTGCATCATGTCTACAAACAAACGCCACAGAAACGACATACATTACCCTAGCTTTGATTATATCTGAAAATATACAATATATGTATTTTTTTTTCTTTTTTATGGCATAAATCTCATTTCATTCTGCACACATGATTATTATCCAGATGAGGAATGCCTTGCTACTTTTCTAAACATTTTGTACTCTTTGCTACAAATATCAACCTCCTTTTCAATCCATGCCAATCTAAACCATATACACTAAAACAAGTTTTATTCATGAGGCAGACTCTTCCTACACTTCACCACCTTACTGTTTGTTTACTCTGTTATGAAGTCCCTTAAAACACCAACCTGATCTCTTCCTGCTTCCAGCATATAGCTTTACTTTCTCTTCCAAACTTCCTCATCATCATCATGACCCAAGACTTAATATTTGTCCATTTGTTGCCTCAATGTTTGACCAAGTACAATGTTAAGGCATTAAGACAACTATTCAGGGCTTTCATTAGAGCCTATAATCTATGCAAGGTAAACAGGATAATGAAAAATGCCCTCCCGTTGCCATGGCGCCACAACTGACCACTCAAAAAGTTATTGAACAGTTTGGCATTAGCAAGTTAAAGCACCCTGTCCACATGCGAACACACATTACTGAAAAATCTCTTCCTGTTGTCATGGCAACACAAGTGTCCAGCCTGTTAGCCATTTTAAAATCATTGACTGTTTATAGTGCTGGCCTGTGTATTTTGGGCCTAATCCTCCAAATGAGTATGCATATTAGTTCTATATGAAAATCTGGCATAAGAGCCTGCTGACAGGTTCTACAATCGACCAACAAAGCCAACTTAAATCAATCAGTGCTGGACGCGTTTGTTTAGGAAGACTTATATTTAAGTTCCCTATTAAGCCATGTTCATTTTCAATACTGGTCAGACAGTATGAAACCTCCACTGTGTGGCTTTTCAATGGTCAGTTCCAACAAAGTTTCACTGATGGCACTAACTAATGAATGTTAAAACAGTCAACTGCAGTCCCTAGTAAAAGCTTTGTATGACATTCGCTTATTACAGCTTGCATGAAAGTAATGACAAGAGAAAATACATAAAGCAACTTTTTTGTTCTTTTCATGGGAAAAAATTCAGCCCAAAGGAATATTCTCACAATCGTTAGATGCAAATGGTGTACATATGTCCTACTCAAGCCCCAACATCATGAACTGACCTACAACCTGACGGTTGATCTCCTCATGTCCTCGCTTTCAAAGATAAATTTTTTCCAGATTTTGTACAAGTCATAGGTCCAAACCTTCTTCAGCTCATGCAAGAATTACAACTGTGTGTGGTTCCCAGTATGCTGATATCCGCCCACCCTGAATCGAAATTTGCTGCCTTGATCTTGCAGGAAAAAATTCCTCCAACTAAATCTCACGTTGAGCAAAAGTTTCACTTGACAGTAACTGTCAATCAAGATCTAACCTTCTCTCATCTGGCAATGCAAACTCAGACAACCTCTTTTACTTCGCCAATTTTACGCCTGAAAGAAACCATTCTTCACCGCCTTGTCGTACACACAAACCACATTCAAAAGCCCACTCACATTACCCTTCACTATTTCACACCTCGCACTCCAAACACAAAGCCCTAGACATGCCAACGCGACCTGCATTACCCAGCCAATAAGAGTAAAACTGGTTAATTCAACTAAAGTCAGCCTCGATGCCTTTGACACCCAAGTCAAAATATGCTTTCAATACGTTGAATAAAGTTATGTAATCAGGGGACTAAAAAAGTATTAACTTTCATTCGTTATGCGTTATTTACACAAGGTTCATACTAAAATGCACAGCCATAATAATACCCTCTTTTTCGGGTGATACAAAAAAAGGAAACCGTCAAGGCAGGGGACAACTAGATCTAACCCCCGAGCAGCCCTCAGGGTTTGAAAACAAGAAATACCTTTTCAGAAAGAATTTGTTTCTGTTTGTAGTAACCAGACATTTATGATTTATATTAATAGCTTGAGCCCTGGGGCAATATTAAGCCTGGACCTTTTACCTTAAGTAAACTTATTATAGGCACTTTTAGGTGAACAAGACTTACCTGTTTTTTTTTTCATAGATGCATTTAACAACAGTGCACCATAGCTGAGGTGACCTGACCTAAACTTTCAATGTGCTATTTTAAAGAAAAAAGACAGGAAGTTTTTATAATCCTTGCCCCTTTTTTTACAACCTGTTTGCACATTAAGCATAATGCCCACAAATGCCTCACCACCTTTTGTTGTCTGCCAACCGCACACTGACTGTGCCTAATTATAACTAACTTCTGCTCTTCCCTTAACCCTGAGAATATTTAGGGGGAAAAAAATAACAAGAATTTCGATCCACTAATGTGAAGGAAATCAATTCACCTTTTCAAATCAGGAAAAACGACGAAATACTTTTTATGAAAGACAAAACCGCTTTAGGTCCAATAATAACAGAAAAGGGCATACCTGTTTGGTATCTTACCTGCCTGGGTCAATAAAGAGGCAGACACGAGCAATTAGTGATGCTTTTGTTCCCAGTGTCTTTCTAAACCCCAAATGTCCACTACCACAAAAAGGGTCAACAAAACTCAATGCACTGAGCTTAACTTCAAGACCCACAATGACTTAAAACATTGAAAGAAGCAGTTTTCAAATAATTATCTTACCTGATGAGGTCGATGGGGAAATTGGGCATGAAGAATTTTCAATTATACCTTTGCTGAGCTTTAAATACTCCAAAAATATTTACCGACAACTGACTTCCAAAAAGACAACAGAGTTACATTAGACCTAAAAGCACAACAACTGTAAGATACAGTGTGTAAGATACAGTGTAGTACCCTACTATCCAAACTGTTTGGCACTCTTTATAATGATTTACATTACCCTTCCACACATAAAAATAAAAACAAATCCAAATGGCTTTCCAGATGAATGACCCCCATTATTTTATAACTCCCAGATGGCAGTCACATAAATATTAGAAGTAATTGCTTGCCATTGGTCTCTCAGTCCCCGATGTGACAATGTGACATTGTTCATGTTTTATAAAGAGATTTCCCAATTTTTAATCCTTCTCATCACACAGCATCTCTCATACTCATCAATTCATTCAAGCTGCTTGAAGCAATTAACAAAATACACAACCCACTTAATAAAATTACTGAAATAATCTTTTGGCTCAATTTAAAGATTGCAATCAAATTGCCACAAACAGAAAGGTGATGTGAATGTCCCTTACTAGGGAGAAGGTCCACTCTGAATTTAGGGTTTCAAATTTAAAAGAAAGGAAAAAATACTTTATGAAATATTGGCCATCAGCATGGTGTGTGTGTGTGTGTGTGTGTGTGTGTGTATGTGCATATATATATATATATATATTTTTTTTTTTCCTCGACTTACACCAACTATTAAAAGAGAAATGTATATTCATACCTCCTCCACTAAAGAGTGTCTGGTCGCTAACAGTATCTCTGAAAGGTGCTGACGGTACGACTGCCGCTGTGTCAATGGGACATCTACAGAGGCATCATCGGATAAGCGATTTAACCAGCTTGCCAGGAGCAATATGTTATCATTGGTTGCCATGACATCGCCCTCCTCTTGGGATATGACCAACGCCCCCTTTTCTCCCAGAATTGCATCGTGTCTACAATGAGAACATTAAAAGTCATGTTAAGTATTAACGATCACTGGATCAAAAGAGTAGTTTCAAAAGGATTACACAATGTCATGTGAAATCTGTCAACTGGAAGTAAATTTCTAAAGAGAAAAGCACTACATGCAATACTGAAAATGTTGCCCATTTAAGTGACAACAGCACAACAGTTCACATCAGGTCTAACTTAAGCCTTAAAAAGATTTATAAAAGCCTGTAAAAGAACATATATCGACTTCATGATGCCTGTGAGTATCATTTCATCTTTTTTTTATCAAATGCATTTCATACCATGATTTGCTGCATAACAGAGTCTTATAAACTTTAAACATTTTAGTCCAATGGTCATTTGCACTAGAGGGCCTCAGAAAACTAAAAATTACCCTTCGGTTTAATCAGCTAAGCAACAGAAAAATTCTTTTTAGTACCTTAACCAAATCTACTGATCAGATGCTTCAGACATAGCTAACGTCACAGACTAGTTAAGTCTTGGTCACTACCCAACTCCATTATGGTCACCTATATTTTTCACCAGCTCTGCTATATATTACATACCCCAACAATGAAAGCTATTACCTTGATGGCCTATCCATCTTTTTCACAAGGTAGTTGACATAGCAAGTCTCATTTATCTGTTTGTTATATGTTCAACCTATGGCTCAGGGAATAAAAGGCAAAGTAAGACTTGCACGTCTATAATTATCAGTACATATAAACAGGCATGAGTTTAACAAGTTTGCTCACACACACACACACACACACACACACACACACACACACACACACACAATGGTAATTTGCTTTATTGCTCTCCTACAAATATCATCCATCTCCCAAAGACCAATACCTTGTGGAATTCAAAACGAGCAAATCATCATAAATAATTAACAACCAAAAAGTGATGACCACTGAACATGAACGAGCTCCGACAGCTAAATGGCTAGGTCAAGTTCGTTCAACACAAGGCAGGTCCATAGCCAGCAATTTTAAAAGGGGGGGGGGTTCTGAAAAAGTGGACCCTTTTCCATAAAACTTCCTGAACCTAGATCAAATGTTACCCAGAGTGAACCTTTTCCCAGCAAAAGGGGAGGTTCTTTTGAACCCCGAACACCCCTGGCTACGGGCTTGCAAGGTCAACGTAAAATATCCTGGACCAAGATATACCTCTAAACCACACAGAAACATGGCCATGCAGTTAACACAACAGTCTAAAGAGGCTATATATATCTTAATCAGCTTTATATATGGATTAGGCATTGACCAACACTACCTGCAGATCTTCTAGTACTAATGCCCATGTCAACCACAAGATCCACAAATTAACCAACATATCGTAAAATTATTTAGTACCAACAAAGCGATACCTAGCACGAACATTCATTTGCTCTGGTAGAGCTGGTTTATTTGCAGGTAATGTGGTTAATATTGGTGTTAATGCTAAAAGATCTGCAGATAGTGTTAGTAAATGCCTAATCCGTTTAAAAGGTCTGATAATATGTTTCAGAAGTTAGAACAGCTAGCAATATCAGCTAGGTCAATGCCCTCTATGGGCTGGGCAACACCAAGATACCATTGTATGGATTTTTACACTGGAGAGCACTGGTGATGATAACATGAAAAGCTACTCTGGCCACACTGTTGTGAAAAGTTCCAAGGTACCGCACTGTCACAGGGGCAGAAGGAGGTCGTCATCTGGGCCTTCCGGAAGACAGTCACAATTTTTCAATTTTACAATGACAGGTGTCTACATGTAATTTTTTCTGTAGGAAGATGGTCAAAAATGGAGGAGGGATCAACAAAGATAATTTGGAAGACTGTCAAAAAATATATCTGGATTCATCACTGTGTTATGACACTGTATGAGAAAAATAAGGATCCTTTGTCTTCATCACTTAGTGCATTACTATGGCCTGTCCCATGGCACTTGTCATCTTCATAATGTTATCAATGCATGTTATTCCATTATGTCGATTAGCAAATTAAAGTAACAAATGCATTTTTTTGGGCAATTACAATGGAGTTCTCTCTCCATCTCCTAAATGCACAAATCTTTCTTGACATACTCAATTACATGTATGTAGCAGTACCAGTTTTACCTTAGTCACCTACCAAACTTTCCAATTTTTTGTTGCTTTAACTTACTTAACACTACATAAATTAACCAAAATTCTACTTAATTAACACCCAATTTACTTACAAGCCAACTCCTTCCTAAACGCACTACTCATCATTTCTTCCAACATGCCCAAGAACTCAGAGGCTTGTTCTAATAGCTCTAAACTTGTCTCACAAACACTGTAATAAGTCTTTGGAGCAACAGACACCCAACGGCCAGAATAAACTGCTCTGTTCAGCTCTCCATTGATCCAAACTAGGGCAGGCTACCCAACTCTATGGCATGCCAGTGTGCGGACGCCCGGGGCTCATGCTGACGCAATCATAAACACAACTGTGTAGATCAACATTGGATGGGAGTGGGGAAGAGGAAGAGAGGCGGGAAATTTTTCCACGTGCTAGCAAGCTAGCTAGCTCCAATGCAGAGTTGTTTTTCTCCTATTCTATGCTAAGTTGGTCTAATCCGATAATGCATCGATCCTCCTTTAAGTGGTCAAACTATGTGAGAAACAGAGCCATATGGATTTCAGGAAGGGAACGGATCTTTCCGTTTTTGTCCACGAGGTCATCAGTGTTATGGCTATTTTATTGCCTGGATTTAAATTTGACACTTTAATTAAAACTAGCTCCTGGAGGTCAACATGGAAGGGTGCAAAATATGTGCCAATGATTTAGAGTTAAAAATTCAAAAATGTAGAGATCAACTCCTCAGTACAATAAAATTGGATGGCCCCTTTCATAAGTAACATGTACACCTATGCCAAACCTGCCATACCCCACACAGCTATCAAATATAGTAAACTGGACTTTGCATGCTTAGAATATATGCTTAAAAAACCTTAAAATCCACTCACCAAAAACCCTGCTAGAAATGCACCATTACTGAAGTGTAGCCTCCAGTGGTTAACTGACCCTTAATAACACAACTGACCACTACCCCCTGGTTAACTCACCTGTCCAGGTGAGAAAAACAAGGGGCATGAACTATTTCTGCTCCACACCTGGCTTAATGACTTCAAAATAAACCTACACCTGTAATTATACCCCTCTGCTTAACATAGCTTTGACCCCACTGGCCATTAACTGACCAAAGCCAACTGACCAGTGCATGTAAATATAAAAAGGGCAAATTAACTTAAAGTTATTTTTTTTTTTTTTAAACATCTTTATTCTCAAGAGGGTTAAATATTGATACAGTATAAATAAAGGTGGCAATTCGCCTAGGCATTATATGCTCACCTTTGAAATTTAATAATAATAATAATAATAATAATAATAATAATAATAATATTCAAGAAAAAGACGGTGACGAGGACATGAATGGCATTAGAGGGGAGTGAGGGACAGGGCATGGGGGAAAGGTAATTAGGGGGGGGGCAATGGGCCATCAGGAGAGAGTGGTAGGCGCCAGAACAGAAATGGAAGAAGATTCAGACATTTTTGATTAAGAAATCTGACACTATTTCGAAAATCTTGTCGTTTTGTCCAGATGTTAGTGTTTTATGGCCATGTAGGAAGAGGGATATCTTATCTAGTTGGGTTCTGAAATATGCATAAGTTACACCAAGTATATCTTCAACAGATTCGTAGAGATCACGATATTTCCTCTGTTTCAGTGGGCATTGAAAGAAAAAATGTCGGATAGTTTCGGGTTATAAGGTGTTTGAATGATAAATTACAAGCTCAATAAAAGCTTTTAAGATTACTGAAGCTGTCCATCAATCAATTGTTCTTCTGTGAAGTTTAAATGACCATAACTCTAATGACTTCATCTGTCCATGTACTAAAATAAAAACTTACAATGATACAACGAGTAAATTCATTTCTGGGTTATATACTTGAGGGGAAACTATTTTTTTTAAAAAGCATCTGAATGAGTTACAATTAAAGGCATCTCAAACTCACCTGTACAGTTGACCAAACTCCCCTCTGTATAGTTTGAATGGACCCTAGCCCAACTGATCAGCCTCCAAATTAACTACCTTGTTCATGCAATTGCAATATACTGCCCAATCTTAACCAAACACCGACAGCAATTATCTTAGGCTAGCAACTGCAGCCAAGTTCATTTGTAGCAACTAATTGGCTTAGTGATCACAGAATGCCTAGCAACAGCAAACTTCCTCTGTCTCTGGGTTAATTGTAAAATTCTGGCCAGTGTATTTCACAAAGCGCTTCAAAATAATTGTAAGTTTGATTTCTTTTTGAATACATTTAGTTTAAATATTGTAGCTTTTTGTTGTTGTTGTTTAATAGATCTACTTAATCCAGGTATGGTTGAAATATTCCTTTTATTTTTGTATTCTTCATATATTTTTTTCTTGAAGACTGACCTAAATCTTCTTTGTTCAAAACATTTTTTCTTTCCAAAAAATATGCAATGAGCAAATGCCACTGTTTTCCTTTCAGAAAACAACTGCATAAATTTCAACATATACTTTTCAGGAGTAGAGTTTCTGTTTTCAAAAATGTTACAGTTTCCAATTCCTGGCTGTACAAACAGGCTGAAAAATGACCACTCCTATTCTGACCACAATAAATAGTAGCAACTTACAACATCAAATCAATACCTTCCAGATACGACAAGTCTCAGTTTCACAACCCAAACACGATCAGCTAGATGCCATAAACAGAAAACAAAGGCTAACAAGCGTCGTTCTCTTGGTCAGCTCAAGCGACTCGCCCAAGGACATAATGACACAAAATAAAATGGAAAATAGTGTTTTGTGTCAATCGTATCGCCTGCATGAACCACCTGCTGTTTTCCTATATATGTTTTTTTTATCTTTATTCCCTTTTATACAGGCCTTATAAATGGATTAGGCGTTTAATAACAGTACCCGCATTTTTTTTTGCACTAACACCCAAATTAACCA